AATTTTGAATAAATGATTTTATTCTCTGTTTAATTTTATCCTTGATGAAATAAATTTGGATTTAATTGTTTTGGAATTATACCGTTTTATGCCTTTTAAAATTGATAAATTTCCTTTGAATTTACATCATATAAATATATACCATAATTTTCAAATAACAACATCTTTTCTAAAGCTTTATTAATTCAATTTTACAATTTTCGTAGGTTCGAGATTCACAATTCTACGATTACACGACCCTTTTGAAATTAAGTCTGCATATGTTATTAGTGAAATTTATGAATATAACTAAGAGTATTCAAGCTGATAGGTCCATTAAAAGTACAATATTAAGGCAGAGCATATACGGATCTCCAAAACATCAGATGTGGGATCAGGTGCCATGGAGGAGGGAGCACTCCCTTTCACGATCGGGAAATGACGAGATTCCGTCTACATTTCAGGATGTATGATATGACCTAACAATTAGTATGAAAAACGTCAATCAGCATTTGTCTTTGGAATGAAGATTGTGTGAATGTTTCGTCAAGATTCATTTAGTGGTATGAGAGGAGCTGCGGATAGTAGATGGGTATCGCAAAGCGTTACAGACGGACGGACGGAAAGACGGACAAGGGGCGTACGGACACACCGATTACTATAGACTCTCCCGCTTTTCAAGCGGGGGTTTAAAAAATTCCAGTGATTGGCTGTCTGTGCAGGAGATATGTTTGTCTAATTAAGGCGTTGTCGTTGAAATGGTCGTTGAAATGTTCAAGAACCCATTTTAAGCAACTTTATGATTCTATAAAAATTAGGCATGGAATTTGCATTTCCAGATTATTTTTGATTCTGTACCGTATAAGTGGAAATATTAGCGAGACGTAAATTTAGCAATTTTTATTTTTCATATTTTATTTTTAGCGAGAAGTAATTTTGGCGATTTTAAAATGCTAACTAAAGAAGTTATTAGAAATAAAGCGCAATTAATTTTTAGCGATATTTAATTTTAGCGATGTCAGCAACCTCGCAAATAATGCCAAATTAAATCATCGCTAAAAATTCTACTAATATGGTATTTGAATTTCCTTAGAAGAAAGATATCTCGAAGTCCAAAGTTACAGATATCAGTATAAAAAATCTCACAGAACTATTTGAAATATTTCAACTCTACATTTCCTTATATAATCTACATAAAAATATTAAACTTTGGGAAACCTATGGGAAACTATCTCGTTATCTCGCGCTATATTAATGATATGACAGATAAAAAACAAGATACTGCGAGAATCATTTCGTTTGTTTGTATGATTATGAAAGCACTTGACCACTAAAATTAAAAATATATCACAAATACATATAACTCTGAAATGTATAAGATAGAATTTCACATTATGATTTGCTTCATGATAAATATATAAACAGTGCTGTACTGTACCCAGAAAAGGGCAATAACTCTTAATTTTGACAGATCCAATCGGCTTTTGATGTGTATTCGCATTGTACTTCACTCATTAAAAGACGCAACAACCATGTAAGCATTATAGTGGAGTGTAAGAGGACGCTAGGATTTCTAGGACATGTAACCATGCCTTCCTTGCCGCCCAGAAAAAAAATGATAAAATCAATATTTTGTTTAAAAACTTTGGAAACCTGTAATTAATTCCGCAGCAAAAATTCAAGAAAATGAATGGCGGGCCGGGCTAATCCTTACAAAGTCTATGTTAATAATAAATAATAAATGAATTTAGAAAAAATATTTAAAGGTATGTCACTCGTGAAATTTCTTAAATCAAGGATTTATTGAGAAGTATATTTTGTATAAGTACTCATCAAGAGTGATTCAAAATCGCAGAGAAAATAGGGGGTCAGAGTTCATCTTACTGATCTACGGTACAATGAAGTTGACCTTTTTGCACATAAATTTTAACTCTTTGGTTACTTACTTAAACCTTTATTATATTTTATCATATGTAACCATGGCAAAAAATATAATCTTATTTTACGTAAAATATTTTGAATAATATTTATCATTGAAAACATCTTGCAAATTAATGCGCGTAAATTATTGTGTGACATTTTTGCACTGAAAAGTAACATATTTTGGGGTATTAAAAAACTAAATACAGGCAATAAAACATTTTCTTAAATCAATCTATTCACGACTTAAGTGCTGATCAGTCAAAAGTATCGAGTACTTTAAAATAATGAAAGAAAAAAGTTGGGGTAAGTGATGTTAATTTTAAAATATTGGTCAAAATATGTGATTTTCAGGCAAAAAATGGTGTTAATTTTATATGGACTTATTGGACACATCTTCATTTTTTGGTAAAGTTTGTTGAAGGAAGGTGCAAAACTTGTTCTAAGAATATAAATCAAAACCTAATATATTAAATATTCCTAACAATATCATAATGAAAAATATTCTCCGAGTAAAAGTATGTGAGGCTGAAAGTCCAAGATATTAAATTTAATAAATGTGCAGATTTGCAGAATTATATGCTAAATAACCTTCCACTACAAAAAATAGTCCCTCACAAATCTTGCTTCTTTGTAGCTTTTTGAGCATTTTTTTTTTTTTTTGTTGAATGTTAAAACATAAAAATTATGGGAATTAAATATGTTATAGAAATTGAATTTTGATAAATAGTTTTGAATTCAGAGGTTCTGCGTGAACTTTTCCAAAAAGCTGACGAGTGACCTACCTTAATGCGTTGGAAATTGACTTGTTAGTAGAGCGTGTGCTAGAATCTAAAATCTAACATCATGAAAAATATTCGAACACGTAATTCTCCAAAAAATTATTTCATTGGCTGTCACCAAGAATACAATATTATTACGAACACAATACGCCACTTTCGTTCAAGTACAATAATTTGTTTAAATATCGTTAGGACAACTATTTCTCGCTATACCATCGTTATGCGAGAAATTATAATTTTTTGGTTGTTCGTATTTGTATTAAAATACCCTTGTTGAGGCCCTCGTCGAAAGTTAAAACTTGCAAATTGAAACAGATAAAACATAAATATTGAGGTAAAATATATAGACTTTAATTTATTTAGCTTGGTAGATCATAAATATACATGACGCAATCAATACATGTAGCTTCACTAGTCAATTTCAATGAAATTAAGTTTTACAAATTAAATAAATAATAATTGATATATATGTTCTTTCCAATGACAATTTGTCTGGAGGCTCTTTATTGATACTTATAAACCGAATATACTTTAAATCATATGAACCAGCACCTTTGTATTGAAATAATAATGATATCAAAAAGCTATAGGTGATGCACATACACTTAAATGTCTTTTTAACATTAAAATTACTACTTAAAACAATAAACAATTTGTATCACATTCAAATCTTGAGCTCAAGATAAGTATTACGTCATACACAAAAGTAAAGCTTATTTGAGAAACAAAAAAAAATTAAAAACATTTTTACAACTTAATTTTTATAAAACTGTATTAATGAATTCAAATAATGTATAATTTGACAATAATTTGACAATTCATTTTTTATAGAAATATTAACAAAACCAAATAACGAAAATTTATCAAATAAAACACATCTGTTAATCCTTGAGCGGACGGTCACCTCTCTCTTCAACATAAAGTATTTCCTGAAATTCTGTTGATTGGTCGTCTTTTATCGGTAACGGAAGAGCTACCACATCACCAAGTGGTTACTTTTTACGAAAAGGTAACACGTGTCCTCTGAGAATAGTATAAGAGCTGGTTTTGTACCGGTCGAATTTGTCCCCTGAAATCAGGCGTTATCGAACACTAGACGTCTAAAGGTATGTATGCTAGATACGTACATGCTCCGTTGATCATTTGAGTGGTATAATTATGGTTTATAAATATAATCTATTGCAAATACTTTTTCATATAGTATTTTGTTCAACACTCGAATATTAAGGTGTCAAAATACTCTCCAAAGTAAGGTTTACGTGAAAAGTTTTGTTCTGTTTCATTTGGTAGGAATTAAGTGTTCTTTCAGATGAGTTTAAAAATTCCCTTTTTGTCATTGAATTAAACAATAGTTTTTAATAAATTTAATTTCTTTATCATAGAACCATAGGTACTTGCAAAAGATGAGAGTCATTGTCTTTATCGGATTGTGCCTGTGTTTGATTGGTAAATCCTTTCAATACCCATCTAATTAGATGAATTTTTGTTGATTTTATCAATATTTACATTGTACAAATTTCAAATTCAATTTGTCTTTTAAAATTAAGCTTCTTCCCACATTGCAATGGCCGGGCATGGCTGTAATGGTCCATGGCATGGAGACGATAAGGCATGCGCTAGTTATTGCCAGCATACAAATCACTGCAGAGGGGGCTACTGCCCTGCTGAAAGACTTTGGTTGGTTTGTTGGTGTGTTGGATGCAGGAAAACTAACACGTAAGTATATTAGGGGTTTATTCTGGGCTTCATCAAAAGTTACTTGAGATTTATTACTCTTTGTTTAGTTCAATTTTCTCATCACAGAAATATGATTATTCACTTGATACATATGAAAGCTTATTACTGTGGTTTCATTAATATTCGTTGAGTACCAATTTTCGAGGATTTCGTTTTTGAGCAAATCCACGAATTTAAATGTTCATTGAATTAAGAAATGTGCTATTCATTTGTATAGGCAATGCTTTTGTCCACGAAATTAAGTATCCTCGAAAACGTCCTTTTTATGAAATCCACGAAAATTGATGCCAACGAAAATTGATGAAACCACAGTATTAGCTGTCTTTTTTAAATTTCTTCTTTTTTTGTCTTTTTCAATGTGATGGCTTTATAAGGTACTTCAATAAAAATTCTATGCTTCTTCAATCTATTAATTATTATCAACAAGTTTAAATTTTTTCGCATTACAGAAAGAATGGATCGTAAAGGAAAATTAAAGATCTTGTTATATCAAGCATGGATTTATTGTCAATAAAAGCATACAAAAAATAAGTTCCGTCTCAGTTAATTCAAGATCATTATAATTGCATAACAATATCATTAACAATACAAGCTACTCTCAGTGATTGATTGATTGATTATTTCACTGATATGGAGACGTCACCATTGCCGGTGAAGGGCTGCAAATTTAGGCCTATGCTCGGCACTTACGGCCTTTGAGCAGGGAGGAATCTTTATCGTGCCACACCTGCTGTGACACGGGACCTCGGTTTATACGGTCTCATCCGAAAGACTGTCCCATTTAGTCGCCTTTTACGACAAGCAAGGGGGTACAGAGGACCTATTCTAACCCGGATCCCCACGGGGCAGTTACTCTAAGTGATAGATAAATAAAAGAGAACATGGACTCTTAGTGATTAACTAGTTGACCTTTTTTTTAATTGTACAAATGACGTTTTGTTCATTATGCCCAAAACTAGCTTTTTTCAAGTGATTATTATTTTTTATTTTACAGAAGTAAATATAGCAAAATGAAGCTTCAAAATCATTAAAGAAAATAGTCAGGTCATTTTAGTCCGTTGGTCGGGAGAGGATAACCAAATCTTTTAGAGATGAATTAGGGAAAGATTCTTATATTCATTACTTTCCTAGGGGAAATGGGGGATATTCAATATTTTGTAGTTGAATATGGAAGTTATTTCACTCGTTAAACAAGATTTGTTTTAAAATTTTTTTAAAAAAAATTCTGTTCCACTCGTGAAATAAATCCCATATTCAACTACAAAACATTGAAAATTCTGTGAAAAACAGGATTTTTTTTAATTTTCACATGTGCTTCGCACTCGTGAAAATATATTTTTAAAAATCCTGTAAATTCCATATTCAACTATTAAACATTGAAACATCTGTTTATTAATTTTTCTTTGATTTTTCTCGTGCCTCTTTTTTCGTATCAGAGCATCAAAGGCCATGACGTCAAAGAAGAGCGGTTGAGACGTCATATAGCTTTAGCGATTGCAAGTTAACATGATTTCAACATCCTAATTGGAGAAACTTTGGCGATTTTAGACTGTCAAGATGGTTAACCTAATCTTTCTTTCTTAAAACAGGCCAGGGAGTATGTTATGCAACACTTTTGTTAAAGGGGAGGAAAGTCGAGAGTTTTGCCGAACTATTGATATCCTTTCACACTGTGGCAGGATAACACTTTTATTCAATGAAAAAATTACAGTTTTTCACCGTTTAAAATGTGATAAAATCTTATATTCTTTACTTTGAGGGAATAAAAATTGATCTCGGGTCCAAAGCAATTAAATCAACTAATCAATTCTATTTACAGAATAAACACTGTATTTCATATCAAAGGATTTAGTACGTCTTAAATATTCAATGAAATGTATATTTTCTCCATATTCTACATACACATTCTAATCTATGTAAAAATGTAAGATTTAACCCACTCCATACTAATAAAAATTATAAGGGCTGTACATGAAAACTTGTCAGTGAACTAAAAAAAGATACGTTATTAAAATGAAATCGGAGCTGTGGAACAAGATGCCGATTCTATGTTTATGATTGTTTAAGTTCAGCTCCGTGTAAAAATCATGCAAAATAGGCAAAAAGTGATATATGAGGGTTCTCAGAATTTGATGATTTTCCACACATAGATTTCCCTTGCACTATGAACCATGTATGTAAAATAAAAAATGTTTTGGTTTATGGTTACTATGGAAACGTGGGTAAAGAAATTTCCTTAGCAACCAGCCAATTTTCAGCTTGGACCTGATACAGACATCGTGTGTATAAAATGTAAAAACAGAGGACTTGTTCTTTTAGAATTTGAATTCAGAAGCGTATAATTTTCTTAACTTCCTATCCGTTGCCTAGCAACAAAAATGGATGTTTTTATGAATAAAAAGAGAAAATATGTAAAATCCCGAAAACATACACCACATAACTTTTTATTTTTAAATTCTGAAAACAAATTTTACAAGAAATTAAATTTTTGAGACTTTTCTGCAAATAAGGGATACTTTTACAATTTCATATCTCCATGGTAACAGCAATTTCTCCTTAGCAACACATCACAGAATGATAATTTTAGCACATTCATGCACAATTGTTAAAGATTCTTCAATCATTTTGTAAAAAATGAATCAGGCAGATTTAAAGAAAGCAATTAGCATCTTATTCAATTTTGTTTATTACTGGATAATACCATGGCAACGATTTTGAGCACATAGCAACCAATATAATCTATATAAAAGATCTTCATCAGTTTTGATATACAGAATCTAGTTCACGGAACATTGGCATTTAAACGATTGCCGGTACAAAATATATACACATGTAAATGTATATATTATGCAATCAAGTTTAAAAAACCCTAACCAAAAAGATTGCGATGGAAACAGGTGTAAATATTCATGCGTTTCAAGAATTTTGACTGACTTTTAATTGTTTAACCTGTGTTGAGTACTTCACAACATGGCCAAGATTAAAAAATATGTCAGTCATCTTGTACTTTACACGTACAATTGTAAAAGATCCTTCAATCCTATTGTTTTAAAATATAATCAGGCATATATAAAAATGCAATAAGACTCTTTTAATTTTTTTTTTACTTGTTTAACCCATAGCAACAATTCTGAGCACACAAAAGCCAAAATACTCAGTACTCTACGAAAATTTGAGAATCATACTTTGTGAACACTTCAATAATATTGGTACACAGAATCAAGATTAGGAGACATTCATGATTGACATGTTTAATATTTGGTGGTAGATAATATGTATCAAATTATAAATTAAATCAAAACTAAGAATGTTGCCATGGTAATGGGTATAAACATTTTTTTATATCATTTGTTAATCGGCAATTTATTAAAGAAATGAATTCAAAATTTTAATTAGCTCACCTAAGCCAAGAACTAACTCAGGTTAGCGAGGTGGCCCTTGGGCCTCTTGTTAAAATATTTTATAACCTAAATGTTGTTGTTAAAAATATACTTCATTAGAACGATGATCAAAGATTAATTAAGTCAAAAACCTAGAAAATGTCTTGACGAGGTTCATATGGTTATATCATAGTGCGATTTTTTGTTGTCATAGCCAACTAAACAGTACGTGATAGTGAGATTGCAATTTTAAGATCTACTGATCCAACATACATGTTTATGATTTTAAACAATTAAAACTTTTAAAAGTATTCAATTTATCCATTCATTTTAATTGTCAAAGACATAAGATCTTGTTCTGAGGTATATAGTAATTGATTAATAGATAATGTTATAGATAAAAACATCCCGCTAAAAGTTTACATTTTTGGTATGCTTGCATACTTATAGCCGAGTTGTAGAAGAAACAGCATTTTTACTGTAGTCATAGGTCTTTTCAAGATCGTTTTGTTTGCCCATCTAATTAAGACCTCCCCCTTTTCCAACTTCAGACACTAACTTACATTTTACTTATAATTTAGATTTTAGTTCTGTAAAATAAGTTTGTTCATAAATAGGAAATGGACCAGATACGAATTCTGATTTTTTCTTTCAGTGAACTTACCAAAATGACCATGGGTGAAGGACATGACACACCCTACCGCCATAAACAATATTTGTATGAAGTATACATGCACTTGATTCAAGTTTATTCATAAGAAAAATATGGACTGGACACAAATTCAAACTTTACCTTGAACTTACACAAACGACCTTAAGTCAAGGAAATACCACACCCTCAGGTCATAGCAATCTTTATTCAAAATGGGAACTCACCAACTTTATCCATGAGAAAGCTATGGACACGAATTATGACATTTTTCTTACAGCGACCTTGAAGTTGCCCAAATGAACCTGAATCAAGATCGTGACACAATCTATGGTCATGAACAATCTTTGCGTCAAGTAGTAATTTCTATTGTCCCTCCGTGAAGAAGATATGGACTGGACACGTTTGCACAGATGGACATGATTCTTATGTACTTTTCCCAAACTTTGATTGCTATTGTGGGGGGTTTATGAAGTAAGAAAGAATTCATTATAATATCTATATATATATATATATATATATATATATATATATATATATATATATATATATATATATATATATATATATATATATATATATATATATATATATATATATATATATATATATAAATTATACTAAATACTAAATTATAAGTAAAATGTAATGTATGTAACAATCCTCTAAAAAACTAATGTCCAAATAACTGTATCTCACTTCCATTCTCAATGACCGTGTAGTGTAGGGCAGCGTTGTGAGAATTCCATCGGCATCGAAAGCAAGTTTTTAACTTGCCTAGATAGCCGAGCGGTCTATGTTCTGCACTGCTAGGAGACAGATTCCGTAGGTCGAGAGTTCAACCCCGGGCTGGGGCGGAAGTGAGTATCCTTGTAAAAGGTGAACTTCTCTGTGCTTTCTATATTAATATTCCTTCACTTAGGGCAGTTATATTAGTTTAAGAGTTGTTGTAATTTGTGCTTTATAAATAAAATTAATTTCATCACAACATGTATTGGTAACAATCCTCTAAAAAACTAATGTCCAAATAACTGTATCTCACTTCCATTCTCAATGACTGTGTAGTGTATATATAAAGCAAGTTTTTAACTTGCCTAGATAGCCGAGCGGTCTAACGCGCTGTTCTGCACTGCTAGGAGACAGATTCCGTAGGTCGAGAGTTCAACCCCGGGCTGGGGCGGAAGTGAGTATCCTTGTAAAAGTGAATTTCTCTGTGCTTTCTATATTAATATTTCTTCACTTAGGGCAGTTATATTAGTTTAAGAGTTGTTGTAATTTGTGCTTTTTAAATAAAATTAATTTCATCACAACATGTATTGGTAACAATCCTCTAAAAAACTAATGTCCAAATAACTGTATCTCACTTCCATTCTCAATGACCGTGTAGTGTAGGGCAGCGTTGTGAGAATTCCATTGCCTATAGCCGAGCGGTCTATGTTCTGCACTGCTATTCCGTAGGTATAACCCCGGGCTATATATCCTTGTAAAAGTAATTTC